CAAATGTCCATCAGTGACAGACTGTATTAAGAAAATGTGTCATATATACACCATGGAATACCATGCAGCCATAAAAAAGGATGAGTTTGTGTCCTTTGTAGGGACATGGATGCAGCTGGAAACCATCATTCTCAGCAAACTATCGCAAGACCAGAAAACCAAACACCGCATGTTCTCACTCATAGGTGGGAATTGAACAATGAGATCACTTGGACTCGGGAAGGGGAACATCACACACCAGGGCCTATTATGGGGAGCGGGAGGGGAGAGGGATGGCATTGGGAGTTATACCTGATGTAAATAACGAGTTGCTGGGTGCTGACGAGTTGATGGGTGCAGCACACCAACATGGCACAAGTATACATATGTAATAAACCTGCACGTTGTGCACATGTACCCTAGAACTTAAAGTATAATTTAAAAAACAACAACAACAAAAACAAAAACAAAATATTCATTCAACCCAGTAGGATAGAAGATATTATCCCTATTTAATAGAACAGAAATCGAGAATCGGAGAAGTTAAGAAGCTTGTCCAAGCTCAGACAGCCAAAAAACGGCAACACTGGAGTCAGATTCACATGTGAATGATCCTGAAGCCCGTGCTCCTTCTCTGTCCGGCTCCAGGAAAGGGGCCACATACTCAGTGTAGTAGTAGTGAGCCTCTCTTTGGCGCGGCCTCCTTTGTCTTCATGGTTCAGTTGAGGAAAATGACATGAACCTCAAGGTTGCCTAAAATTTGTCTGCCAGTGTGTCTGCCTCTTACTAAAGTTCCTCACAAGAATGTGGGCTCTGATTGGATGCTTCCACGGTTTTGTGTTTTTGTACTTCATAATTTCCTAGCAAAATGTCTCTCTGAAAAATGTCCTCCTTTCAGCGTTGAACTACAGGAACAGAGATTTTTCCCTTGTCTGAGCCAGTGGCAGGGTGGTCATCGTGTGTGGCTCGGAGACCCAGTTTTAGAAGAACTGAGGCAGGTGGTGAGTGTCCAGGACAGAAGCAACCCGGGGTCACTGTTGGCCCCTCTTTCTGCCGGCTGCTCACAGATGCCACCTACCCGTGGCCCCCAGAAACAATGCATTCAGACCCCAAACCACTGTACTGGAACAGCTCTATCCAACTTCCAGTTCTCTAGCTCAGGAAAGTCCCTGAATTTATAAGCTGGAAGAGACCTTACAAATCTCATTTTGCATGAGAAAACTCAGATAGGATTTTCCTGAGGTCACACAATAAGTGGCTGGGCAGGATTATTGTTTACAACAGAAACTACGGAAGCACTTTATAATTAGGAAAAAAAATTGCTGAAAGCAAAAAAAGCATATGGCTGTTTATGCTTCACAATTTACTTGGGAGACATATACCGAGAGGGGAGACATATACCGAGAGATGAGACATCGTGTGAACTGTAAACTTCCTACAGGAACACGGGCGTTGGGGACCAAGGAGGCCGCAGCGGTTAGAAAAGACTTCAAGGGGAGGTGAGGGGCTAACGTGGGCCCCTGGAGGACGAACAGGAGAGCCTGGCAGAGAGAGGGCGACGGCGAGGAAAGGACAGAGAGACGGGGGACCTCACTGGCTGGGCCTAAGGAAGGGGAGGGACCCCGCCGCTCCACCTCACCCCACCCCTGCTCAAATCTCTGGATCCTGGAGCAAAAATGGGAAAAAGCGCCCAGACAGCTCTGCAGCGCGGCTCCTCCGTCTCTCAGCGAGTGTAAGCAAGCCCCTGTGCTGGGACGCGGCTAAGGGGATCCGGGCCTGCTTGGCGGGCGGCCGGGAGGAGGCGCCCGCCCCTGCCCGTGGCAGCCCCTCTGGGCCCCTCCCCGCCGCCCTTCGCTCTGTCCTCCGCCTGGGTCCGTGTTGTGGGCTCCCAGTCACCTCTCCACCCGCCTCCCTCGTCGGTCGCCTACTGCTGCTTTAGCCGGGAAAGGCCCAGAACACGCTGCCTTTTCCAGTTAACCTAGGGGTTGGAGGGAAGGAGAGAGCTGGTGCTCCCGTCCTTTTCCCTCATTTGTTCTGACCTCTGCCCTGCTTGTCTAGGCTAAGGAGGCCCCGGAAAGCGGCCCTGCCCGCAGCCCTGCCCGCAGCCCTGCCGGCCTCCGCTCGCGCAGTCCACCCTTAGATCTTACAACTGAAGGTGGCGCTTTCAAATCCCAGTTTCGTTATATATTCGTGCTTCCTATTTACCGGATACCGCGAACTGCTCTTCATGCTGCAAGGGGAGAAAAAGATGCATTCAGCCCTTCAGTTTGTTTATTACAGTAATCATGACGCTGGAAGACCGGGCGTGCAATATAAAACCCAGGAAGGGAGCAATTAAAAGAATAGAAACAAGAGAAGAAGGCAACACAGCCCAGATCCCAAAAAGCAGAGGGGGCATTGCTCTCAGGTTGCTGCCTCGGCCCCGTCGCCGGGAAAAGGGCTTTTTGGAGCATTTGTTAAGTGCCACAAAGCCCTACCAGGATTGATAGAAAGCGTTTTCCTCTGAGGTTTTCATGTATTCCTTGAACAAATATTTACCAAGTGCCTAATATGTTACAGACATTATTCTAATTGACAGACATCTTTGCCCTCATAAGAACTAACATTATCATGGAGGAAAGAGAAAATAAAGCACAAACATAATAAATAAGTGAATTACATCTTGGAAGGTAATTTTTAAAAAACAGAGCAGGCTAACAGCATGAGTGTGTGGGGGTTCCAGTTTTAAAGAGAGTGACCTGGGTGGGCCCCAGGGGGAAACCTGCTAGGCACGAAATAGGCAATCCCAGATAAGCCTGCTGTCTCTGTGAGTTGACGGGCCCTTCCTTGTGCTCATACATGTGCATACAGCTGGAGACCCTTGCAGAGGGTGGCTGTCTTTTACTGCTTGAATAGGATGGGAGGTGGGGCATCAGTTATTCATATTTTAATAGACCATTGCAGCTGTGACTTCCCCTGCTTCCATTCCTAACCTCTGGAGAGCTGCGAAATGGTGCTGATTTCCAAAAACAGGTAGGAAGGTAAGGGAGGAAAAAAATCCTAAAACAAGGAGTTGTGTGCTTTGGAGGGGCACTGGGGTCCCCCGATTGGCTTCTGAGATAGCTAATGGAAGCTGGATCCAGCTTTAGGGTAGGAACTAGCTATTTATCTATTAGTCAAGGGACATATTTTAACCATCCTGAATTAGATTGTGCAATCAGGTTGGTAAGAATGACAATAATAATTAAAATAGCTGGTGTTTATTGAGTACTTATTAGGTAACAGATATCATGCATAGGTTTCACAGGTAACCTTTTAGTTTTTTCTTCAACTAGAATGTCATGTAAGCTCCATGAGAGTAGACACTTTATTTTGTTCACTGCTGTGTCAGAATCAATGCCTGGCACTTAGATGGCACTCACCGCACAAATGAATGAATGATTGCATTCTGGAGAAGAGTTTCAAGGCGCCCTTGCTCTGGGCCTTACAGTGACATGCTGAGGAGGTTTTAGGCCCTTCCTCTTCTTCAGAGTGCAGCAAACATAACACATACCTCTTTCTTGTTATTGCTGACTGCTCTGTAGATACTCCAGGCATTGTTAGAGGGACAGTTTCTTCTCTTTATTGTGTTTTCCACCTTCCCCATCTCCTTGGTGGGCAGGTGGTTAGAGGAGGGAAAAAGGAGGGTGAGGGGAAAAGAAAACTTTATCTTGCCTTTCATCCATGACTTCATTTACATTTAGTTCTTACAACAACCCATTTGACAGAAGAGGAAACTGAGACTCAGAAAGAGTAAGTAGTTGTCAAGGTCTTGTGGCAAGTTAATGCCAAGGAGCCTCAGCTCCCAGAGCTGTGCTCTTACCCATTACACTGGATGGCAGGGCAAAGAATGCACTATCATTACTTTGCATTTTTTCTGTTGTTTCGCTGACCCCATCTTTAGGGGTAGGACAATGTTTAGGGCAGGTTCCCTACTGTCTAGGGGGATAGTTAAAAGCATGCCAAATATTTTGACAATGAATTCAAAGCAAAAGATTACATTATTTTCTTTCTTGGAATTAACAGTTCATTATTACTAACAGTTGGCTCAGTGGTGAGGAATATTGGGCCATGAAGCTTATTTGGGCACAGGGTGTTTGTTGTTGTTCAACTGCGTACCTCCTTTGGGGTTGTCAAGGAATAGGGGTTTGTTAGTGCCTATTACATATTCGGTGCTTAAGCAAGTTACTGAGTGGGGAGGGGCAGGAAGGATTAAAATTGCAGCAGAAGTTCTGCTTAATCTGACTGCACTGATGGCTGGCAGCTACTGAAGAGAGTGATAATAAAAAAGACTACTACCAGACCATCCTGGCTAATATGGTGAAACCCTGTCTCTATTAAAAATACAAAAAATTAGCCGGGCATGGTGCCGGGCGCCTGTAGGCCCAGCTACTCGGGAGACTGAGGCAGATTTGTGTACCCAGGAGTCAGAGGTTGCAGTGAGCTGAGATCCTGCCACTGCACTCCAGCCTGGGCAACAGAGCAAGGCTTCATCTCAAACAAACAAACAAACAAAAAAACTACCCAAAACATTTTTTTTTTTTAAGTGTCTCAAAAATCAGTAAAACTTTATTCGCTTCCATTATTTCACCATTAACAGAAAACTGGAGAAAGCAAAAATGTTTTGTGTTTACAAAGACAAACGGCCTCTTTACCCAGTGATCAAAACCTCAAACGACAAGGGGGAAGATAAAAGCGCCCTTCCCACATCCCCTGAGCTGACCGTTGTCATCTTAGACAAAGCCTTTAGTCAACTGGCCGGGGACCCTGTCTATGGCCAATTCAAGAAGACGGCCAAGAAATCAGACCCATCCATTCCCGTGATATAAAGTTGAACAGAAGCTACACCAAGGGTCAAGTGTCTGTATTTTACAGGACATAGTAACCAGGTGGCTACTTATTAAAAAAAAACAAGATTCATTTCAGGCACAACATTTTTATTTTTTTTGTTTGTTTTGTTTTTAAATCAGTAAAAGAAACAGGGTCCTAGAAGCTGCATTGATCCAAACAGCAGCAAGTTTGTGCATTCATTTTTTTTGTTTTTGTTTAAATATGTTTAAATTATCAGACTGTTGGCACTCCTCATTTGCATGAAATTCTGTACCATACTTACTAATTGTAGTAAAGTTACCCCCCAACTCAAGAATAAAACCTACTCTGGAAGATAATTTTCACTGAAATATAAACAAACTTCTTTAAGTGGATTGTGACAAAATTATAAATGATATAAAAAAATAACATTTTAAGATTTGGCCATCAACTTTAAGAAATGGTTTGCCTATACAAATTTGTGTAATTTTTAAAAGATATTATATTCTACCCTCATATGGTCCTCAGAATTAAAGCATAATGAACAGGAAGAAAAAGAAAAAGAATGCAACTGAGTGCTAAGGCAGAATGTCTTGCCAGAAGTAATTAATGAAGGTAGAGTATATAATGAAAAGTGCAGAATTTCATAGGGCCAACAAGGTAACAGTCTATATTTTTCACTTACACAGGCGAAGTGGATTTTGCAATGACCAGTTGCGTTAAATGCTCCAAATAAAGCTCCTAAAATTGACACTATAAGGCGCCGCCTTAAGTTTTCCAGGCTGAACTGTGCATTATTTTAAAATGGTTTTCTTAAATTTATTTTTTTTTTAAACATAACACGAGGAAGGTGTTAAAACTGGTGTAATAGCTCAATAGAATAAGTATTCCGGATTCAGGAGGGATGAAGAGGGAGATATTCAGAATCCTTCACCAGATTCTCCCCAACTTGATCATAGTGGATTAAAGATATGTTTTGTGGATGTGGTTAGTCAATGACATCAGCTTGACGGATCTTTCTTTCTGCACCAAACCCCATTGAGTTATCTGGTCCCCTTGGCTGATGAAGAACCATTAGGTGAGGAGCACTGGCATCATCCAGAGTGATGTTCTTCAAACAATTGACCAACCAATCAGGTCGAGGAGCTGCAACAGCCTTGGGGCCCTCATAGACTCGCCAAACATTACAGGCGCTGCACTTGCCAGTGCGCTGATGAAGAATCACTGAGAACTCCACCTCATCTCCTGCCTGTAGCTCAATGCCACCCTGAACTTCTTTCACACAGAAAAAGAGCTTCTGGCTATCTCCTACTTCATAGTTAATGAAGCCAAACTGATCTTTCACACATTCCACTGTAGCCCTATGCAGGGGTGTGATGTTGTAAGCCATAGTTTGTGCATTTTGGCCCAGGACACACAATTGGAACTTGATGCTTTCCCCTTTCTGCAGGCAATCGCTATTGTTGGCCATCCCAACGACATCAAATGGATAGACATCACCTTTCTTATCGCCCTCCTCCACAATCTCAATCATTCCTCGGTACTCAGTCTGTGTTGAATCAACACTCCTCAGGGGCGAATGACTTTGCCAGAGTAAGTGGTGGGATCAGCTTCCTCAGTAATGCCATTCACTGAGTGTGTTTTGTTTACTTTTTCTGCACTGACTTTATTGCCTTTGCCTTTGGACAAGCTATACTCGACCATGACCCCCAGTTCCAAGCTATCAACATCACCAGAGAACTCACTGTAATGGAAAAAGTTTTCCTTATCATGATTGGCTGTTTCAGTAAATCCAACGTTTTAATTGTACATATACCTGAAGTTAATATGTAAACATATAAATTCATATAAATACATATACATATAAATTCATTTGCCAGTTTTTCATGGAAAGCTAAGACCTGTGCTTTGGTTCTAGATCAGCTGATAAGAGTTCTGTATGATCTTTCTGGAAAAAATCATATCCATAGTGAATATTATTTCCAGTTTTGGTTTCTTTCAAATGACTCAACAACATAAAGACAGTTTTCATGCAAGCTGACTGTGGATGACTTGCAGATTTTTCATACATTTGCCCCTACATTATTTGATTGTCTTTCTCACATCTAATTTGAGAGTGAAGTTTTTGTGTATGTGTGGTTCAATTTTTTGTGTCTTTTCACAGCATTCAAATCAGTTTTTGTAGAAACAGTTTTTTAATTCACATGCTCTAAATTTATCTATTAAATTGTTTGTTGCCCTATGTCCTTACACTATTACTGGTGTAAGGACATAGGGCAACAAACATGGCTGATCCTTGGCAAGCTCATAACTCAAGGGAAGAAGTAGACACAGAGCGGCTTCCTAGCTGAGAGACTTCTTTGTGCCATGGGCATGGAGCAGTAAGTTTTCTAGAGGAAATGGAGATCATAAGTAAATTTGGAGAGTCAGCTAAGTGGAGGTTGAATAAGGGAGCTTCTACTACACGTGTACCCGAGACATGTCACTATTCTAGCCCCTCCAGAATCTCACAACGTATTGGGAATATGTCCTAGAAATGTGTCCACATATGCCTTACTCATAATCCACAGAGGTCTCCTCCCTTCAATCATTGTTGAGAACCAAGGGGTTCTTATCTTGCCTTATCCCCCAGATCACTTGAGGTGAACACCCCACCCACAGATAGCCACCCATGCCTTGGAGTCTTTATGGAAAAGAAAAGTCAAGTCAATTATATTCCCCTAACAAGGAATTTACACTTAGGAAATAGAGAAACTCAACAAATTGGTGATGGGTGCTCGAATGAGAGGTCATGAAGTCAGGTTTGGGTAGCTATAATGGGACCATTGGGGTTTTGAGAAAATGGAAGTACAGATGGACCAGGTAAAGAACAGTGGAAATCTAGATGAAATAGTTATGCAAAGAAATAGGCAATCCATAACAGACAGGGAAATGAAGTGTGGCTGGTCTTCAAGATTCCTGGCTTTCTCCCTTCCTGGATCTTATTTGTTTTGCATTTCCTGAATCTCTCTGAGACCTTGCTATAGTCTTGCCATTTGACATCCCTTTTAACTTGAGTTAGTTTGAATAGGTTTCTGGCCCTTGCAATTAAAAAATATTAGATTAAGAGACAAGGTGAGAACAAGCTAGTGTTAAATTGTATGTTTCTATGCATTAAGAATTCCCAAGAGTTCAGAGAAGAGAAAGATCAGTTGATATCTTAATTTTCTGCTCTTCTATTCCTCTAAACTTAGAAGGTAGGCTCAAATAATCCCTGCCATTAGCTCTGCCCAGCCCATTTCAAACATTGAACACTGCATTTACCCATCCTTGCCCCTTGGCCAGGATGACGGCTCAGCATTCCATCCTTCCCTCTGTTGTTCCCACTCTGATTTTGTATTCTAGACAAGTATCTCCTGTCTCTGCCCTGTCCCCAGTGTCCACCAGTTTTAGTGTACTGGAAGTGAGATTTGCCTTTCTTCATTCTTCGGAGCTTCCAAAACTGGCCCTACCATTGAAGCTGCTCATGTGGCCAGTTCCAGCTACTGGCTGAGGCCTCTTCCCTGACGCCTTTCTCCCTACACTCCCTCTTTATTATTGGCTATAGAAACCTCTCTTAGTCACCCAAGCTATTTCCCAGGATCTTGCCTTTCCCTGTCCTTGTTCTTTTAATCATTATCATCTCAGGAATTTCACAGACAAGGTGGGATTTGGCTGGGCTTGGAAGGATAAGTGGATGTGGTTTGGCAGAGGGGCAGGAGAAATGCGGTCCAATTATAATGGTTTATACCAACTTCATTCTCATTGGCTTTTAGACTACGACCCTGTTTTTAGTAAGAGCATGATATCATTGTCGTAGGAATGAAGAGCTATCTATTTGCCATTTTGCACAGGGACAAATATATACATTTCTTAGCTGTGATACGAAAATTTTTAAAGTCAGTACTTGCACATAATGCCAAAACTTAATTCCATGAAAGGCCCAAGAAATGTATGAGTCATGTTTCCTGTAGTTGTGAGAAGTTGTGGGTTAAATGGATTAAGGAGCATCAGTAAGAATACTCTCAACCATTCCAGTTAAAAAAGGTAGCTATGCCTGTAATCCCAGCACTTTGGGAGGCCAAGGAGGGTGGATCACAAGATCAGGAGATTGAGACCATCCTGGCTAACACAGTGAAACCCCATCTCTACTAAAAACATACAAAAAAATTAGCTGGGCGTGCTGGCCGGTGCCTGTAGTCCCAGCTACTCAGGAGGCTGAGGCAGGAGAACGGTGCGAACCCAGAAGGCGGAGCTTGCAGTGAGCCGAGATTGCACCACTGCACTCCAGCCTGGGAGACAGAGCAAGACTCCGTCTAAAAAAAAAAAAAAAAAAAGTAGCTATACTCAGCAGAAGACTCACTGATGGTAACATTACAACTGCCACTTTAACTCCTCAGGCTAAAGAAAAAATATCTACCGGTCTACTATGTCATCTGAAAGCGAATATCTAGTAACCTCTCTATATGGTATTCAGAATAAGTGAACTTTTTATGTAATTGAAAGTTATTCCTTTAAGAGGTAAAATCTTTATTGGAAGTTTATCAGATTTTCTTGCTTTTATCAAACAGAGAATGCTAAACTAAATTAATATTCCTAGGTGGCTCAAGGTCTCCCTAGACATTTTGTAACATCTGTTTGCCACAATTTCCACTGATGAGCAGGCCTAGGGTAGCTATGCTTTGAAGCATGTGACTCTCTTCCCAACTGATTGAATAAAAATGGGCACCTGTTTCAAAAGTAGCCAGTCCACAAGCTGGTCAATGATCGTTGACCTACAGTCTGGCTTAAAAAGTTGAGTTGGACAAATAGGATGCTCAGTAATTTAAGCCAAATATGGAAAGAGGTAAAGATTTGCAAGCTGAGCCTAAACAAAACCTCTGTGACATAAAATCAGGGCTGAAGAGTCCATGATGGTCTATAAGTAAGCAAAGCTGTGAGAAAGCAGTCACTGTGGTGAAGCAGATAAAGTCAATTGAGGGAAGACTAAGGAGCTGATATGCAGAGATCTCTGTTCTTAAAAGCCAGAAGAATCTAGCTAGAATGAGGGCCCTTCCTTCATTACCATGTGTAGGCGTTCAGCCATCCTGAAGTGTTCAGGGAAGGGTAGCTAACATTGAGCGTCTCCAGTTTGCTCTTCTCTTTGGGCTGGGGCTACTTGTCCTTGGTAGTCTTCCAGGTTCCCATAAGTCCCCTCTCTTCACTCTTGGGACGTCTATTTTTTCCCAAGTCAACATTCCTAGGCTTTGCTCTGGCTCCTCTGTTTTGGTCGGTCAGTTGCCATTTTTCATCACTTTTTTCAGTTCCTCCTGTCCTGGGTCTCCTGAGATTCTGGGTTTTGACATTATTGTGGACTGGCTTCTATAGCCTTCAGAGATCCTGTTGTCTTAGGTGTGTGCTGTTGTCTAGAAAAAGAATCAGTTGCCTCACGTCTTCTGTAAGTCTAGAAAAAGAATCAGTTGCCTCACGTCTTCTGTAACCTTGAAGGTTGAATCTTCCCAAAGTGAACCACTGCTCACTCCCAGAGGCCTTTGGGGCTATTTCAAGTTTGCAGCTGTTCTGGAGAATAGGGGTTACCAGATGTCAGAGAAATACCAATTGACTAATAATGTATTATGTTCTGTTCTTTTCTTTCCTCTTTTTTTTTTTTTTTGCAACAAAAGCTTGCCTTTCAAGTCCCTTGCTTATTTTAAAATTAGTTTGCCTTCCATGAGCTTAAACTATTTGAGCTGTGGGGGGTAAATGAGCTAAGATGTTTGTTGTGCTAAATTTCAGGGAAAAGTCAACCCAAATTAAAATTTGACCTCAGGTAATGAACAAAATAAATATCGTTAGATAATTAAGAATGATAATAGTACTGATTCTACCACAATATAGAAAATACCTGATCACAATATTAACAAACGAAATAGAATAATTAAGAGGGAGAATTTTGAACTTTCCAAATGCCAGGTGAGCAAACATACTATTAGTAAATCTCTTACTGCCCATTTTCTTGAGAGATTGGAACACCTGAGCTCTGTCTAGCTTCTGGATTCCTGTGGGCCTTTTATATCTGATTATCTGGAGATGAAACTAAGGGTCATAGCTTGGCCTAATAGCATGAGAAAGTAAAGTGACCCAACATCTTTAAAACACCAATCATTTTCCCCTTCATGTGCTTTCAGAAAGAAAACATGGGACAAATTGGCTCCAAGCATAGCTTCCCACCTCCCCTTTCTCTGCCCCCAGTTTAGAAAAGAAGAAAACCAGCTCTCCCTGCAATACTGCATCTTCCTGTGTAGCATTATTACCCTGAACTGTAAAAGACTTCCGGGTACCAAATAAAGAATTTAGACATGCATCACTCCTGTGAGAGAGTCACAGGAAAGTAAAGGAAAAGAAGGTTTGGGAGGAAATATTAAAGATGTGGCACTGTTTCATTCAGGTGAGAAAGTCATGGTGAATTTCTGTGTCTCCATCCATCCATCCATCCATCCATCCATCTGTTGATCCATCCATCCATCCATCCATCCATCCATGCATCCATCCATTCATCCATCCATGCAGCTATGTAGCTTAGAATGAGAATTCAGAAGTAATGTTTGCTGAGGGATGTGTATTAACATGTGTATTTGAAATAATTTAGAAAACATAATAGAAAACTATGGTTATATGAAAGTAAGCCTGATTTGCTAATTAATTTGACAATGACAACAGCTTTGCCAATTATGTTATATGGTTGACCTTTTCTGTAAATTATGTGAGCCAAACATGCAGTTTCATTGTCTTTTTTTAAATAAAAT